CCAAGAGTTTTGTCTTTTGGCTCTGCCTCCTCAAAGTCCTGATTGGTTTTTTGTTTTTTTGTACTGGAGTTTAAAGGACCTTAGGCAATTTAAGAGAGGGATCAACCATTGAGCTAGATCTCCAGTACTTTTTAAAATTTTATTTTTGAGATCACTGAATTGCTTGGGCTGGCTTCAAACTTGCAATCTTCTTGCCTCAGCCTCCCCTCCTGAGCAACTGGGTTTATAAGTGTGCACTACGACAGCTGGCTCCTGAGTGATTTTCACCACATACCAATCAGATCTAAACGTTCCCCTGATTAAGTCTTTGAGTTCTGCTACCATCACCTACCAAGCTCTGCATGAACACAGGACTGTCTTCCTCAGGCTCATCTCATGTCTTTTCTGTCAGGCATGTTGGCATTTTATCTTTCAAGATCCAAACTTTTTTTTTTTTTTAGATATATTTTTACTTGTCTTATTTTTTTTCCCAAAGTTTTATTGATAAACAGATAGCAATGAGACAGTTTCAAATCAAATCAGAAGTACAGTTTCAACAAATAATACACTGCATATATTCTTCTTAGTGGTTAATTGCTGTACAAGATGCGGACTTGTGATCCTATTTACAAACACCATTAGAACAAATCATTCTATTCATTAAGAGAATGCAACTATATATCTATCCTAACCACTTAAGATCCAAACTTTATAACCTCAGTATCCTTGCCCTCTTTCATTACCTTCTTGCACACCAAGCTGCACATTTTATTGCATTATAATTAGGAATTATCTTGCATTTTATTTTATTTTTTTTTATTTTTTTGCGGAACCAGGGATTGAACTCAGGCCCTTGTGCTTGTCAGGCAAACACCTATTCTACTGAGCTATCTCCCTGGCCCCTTGCATTTTTTTATTTGCTATCTGCTCAACCAAGAATATAAGGTCCACGAAGGCAGTGATCTTGTCTCTCTGGCTAGCAGCTCACCCTTCTGTGCCTCACATTAAGCTTGAGTCATATATTAGGGACTCCATAAACATTTATGGAATGGATGAAACCAAGGGTGACTTCACTGACAACCATGTACAAAATGAGAAGCCTGAAATTACTATAAGCCTTCTCAGCAGCCAAGTTACAGACCCATATACATCCATATTCATACATAAAAGCCCATGCCCAGCTCCTCCACGTATCAGGCAGAGCCAGTATGCTTGATTAGCTGGCTGCTTTGACTATAATAGCTGATTTAAAATAGTAAACAGGAAAAGGAGGCAGAATGCCATTAGCCATTGACAACAGTAAGAAATGAAAGAGAGAAAACACAGAAAAATATGTAAGAAAGTCGGGTATGGTGGCACACTGCTGTAATCCAAACTCTGCGATTAACAGGATCACAAATTTAAGCCCTGTTTGGGCAACTTAGTTAGATCCTGTCTTTAAAAAATAAATTAATTAATTAAAAGTGCTGGGCAAACACAGTTCAGTGTGAAGGCCTCTGTTATTAAAAAAAATAATAAATTAAATTAAAGGCATCTTAAAGCAAGGTATTTGGAGACCATTTAAGTTGGAGTAAACAGCCCAAGGTCATGGCTATATGAAGAAGTGTTTAAAGATGGTAGGTTCCATTATCATTATCATCATTACAAAGTGATTATTCTAATCATGATGATTATTAGCAAGTGCCTAGTATAGAGTAGGTGTTGATGAATTATGTACAAGACACATTTCAGAAAGCTTTCCAGTAAAAGGGTGAAAAAAGTTTGAGTTCTCAGGGGCAGCTTTGATCATGTGGAAAAACCTGATATTTATTCCTGACAGTGGGTAACTGAAGCTTTGCTATTTTTCTTTTTACTTGTTCTAACCTCATTATTTCAGTTTCCTCATATTCTGACCTAAGACCAAGAAGATGGAGAAGTTCTATCTTACACAACTGTTTCTTCATGGCCATTATCTCTTTAAACTTAAGAAACAAAAATGAAATAAGAAATAGGAATGAGGAACGACAGTGCACATCTATAATCCTACCGTTCTGGGAGGGGGCGGTGGGAGCCCTACATGGCCTTGGCAAACTAAGTAATTTTTTTTGCAGTTTTTTTCTTTTTTTTTGTGGAACCGGGGATTGAACTCAGGCCCTTACATTTGCCAGGCAGGCGCTTATTCTACTGAGCCATCTCCCCAGCCCCGCAAGATTTTGCAGGTTTTTTTTTTTTTTTCCCAGACTAAGTAATTTTGTGAGACCCTGTCTCAAAATAAATAGAGCAGGGGATTCAGCTCAGTGTGAAGGGCCTCGGTTCAATTCCTGTGGGGCAGGGTGGGGGAGCAGCTTTAGATTTCATAGCCAGGCTTACTGCATATACCTGTGATCCTAGTACTCTGGGGAACTGACACAGGAGAATTCTAATTCTGAGCCTAGCCCAGCCAACTTACTGATAAAAGAAGACTTCTGCCTCAAAATTTAAAAAAACAAAAATAAATTACATTAAAATTAGGTTCCTAATTCTGTGGGCTTGGGGTAATTATCCCCTTTGCCTTTCTGTTTTCATATCTGAAAATTAAGGACACCAAACCTGCTAGGTTATCACATAAAATAAGGAAATGTACATGAACTAACCAGGGGCCAGGGAGATGACTCAGTGGAATAAGCGCCTCCCTGGCAAGCGTGAGGGCCTAAGTTCAATCCCCGGTTCCACAAGAAAGGAAGGAAGGAAGGAAGGAAGGAAGGAAGGAAGGAAGGAAGGAAGGAGGAAGGGAAGGGAAGGGAAGGAAGCAAAGAAGGAAAGAAAGAAGAAAGGAAGAAAGGAAGAAAGAAAGAAAGAAAGAAAGAAAGAAAGAAAGAAAGAAAAGAGCGAGCAAACCAATGTAAAGTCTTAATCTGTTAGCCACACCACCCATACCACCATTACTATTTATGCTCATCAGATGCAGGTGACTGCCTCTTAATGAAAATTGTCTCAAATTTGGTAATCAAATCTGAAAGAAAATAGTTTCACAAAACTAAAAGATAGTATGGTTTTATCCTTAATCCTTTCAGTAAGAGGCTTGGATTTTGCATATTTCCACTTTTACAATCCCTACCACCACCACTCCCAACATCGAGAACTAAATTGTGGGACTTTGCACTGAGCTACATCTCTGTCCTTTTTTATATATACACTTTTTTGTTTGTCTTTTTGAGGCAGGGTCTCACTCTGTAGATGAAGCTGTCCCGTGTTATGTAACTCAGGCTGGCCTCAAACTCACTGTGATCCTCCTGCCTCTGAGCCTCCTGCTTGCTGGTGTTACAGGCACGGCCCCCATGCCCTTTTTTTTTGAGATAGGGTTTTGCTTTGTTGCCCAGTCTCCCTTTAGCTTTCAGTTCTCTTGACTCAGCTTAATTAGTTGAGACTATAGGCACATGCCGTCATACCTGGCTACAACCTTTGGTGAGCATAGCTCAGGGAACGAAGCACCTGCTCAGGCAAGCACAGGACCAAGGCTCGATCCCCAGCACCACATGCTGTGCCAGCACACCCTGGGGTGCACTGAAATGACCACCACGCCTGTAATCCCTGTGCTGGAGAGGCTGAAAACAGGAAGATGATTACGAGTCCAAGCTGTGTAGTGAGACCCTGCATCAAATAATTGAAGAAAAAAAAAAAAAAAAAAAAAAAAAACAG